ATAAGCGTCCATTTCCAATTTTTAACATTGTATTAGCAATGATTGCAGCATTATTATCGATATGCAACCAAATATGACAGTGTATTTGTAAATTATCATATTTGTTGTCAAGCAGAATTTAGTTACCCATCCCCAAAGTGTTGATGACTTGCCGCATGCTTTAGATTTGTATTTATTTTTTACTTTATTGTTTGTCCAGAATCCAAAATGCGCAGTCTTGAACAGTCTGAACAATTCATGATTTATGAAGCAGTTGCTTCGGATCTTGAAAACGCCGATCAAGTTGTTATTTCATATTGTCCATGAAGTATACTTGTAAGAATTTATTTTCGTGCATCTTTAAGAGGTTGTATTGATCTGGCCTTGAATCAAGTATTTTTAAAATATTATCAGTCTGTTGCTCTGCGTGTTCACTCCGCCTTTGCTGAGTCTTTAGTGTGTTGTGTGTGTTTGGTGTTCAGGATATCCAGGTATAATATTTATAATGTAACAACAGGTGAGCCGTTTGACCATTCACCGCCTTCAAAAAAAAATCCCAGTCCTCGAAATTTTGCAATAACTGAGGCTTTTGTGTACTAACTTTATAATTAGCGTCGAAGTAATAAAATATTTTTAAACGTATTACAAAATACATAAACATCAAACAACTAATTGTAGACAACAATTTAAGGACACGTATATGAATTCACGCGCTTCAATTTTAGGTACAGAGGCGATCTACTACAGGTGCACTCGTTTACTACAGGCGTGAGCACACAACGACAAGCGCTATGCGGCGAAATTTTATGTAACTGACGCAACTTGATACTTTTATGCGAGATTTCGCAAACACGCCCTTAACATATACGAGGCAGGCAAATCGAAATCTTCCTCAAAAGGACTTCAGCAGTTCTCAGCACAGCTTGGCGCTCTGCTTGTTGTGCTGATGTGATCGAGCTAATCGTTTCGCTTGTACTTAGGATGATATTCTTGAAAGACTTGATTAACTTTTGCGAGCTATTTTTCTAACCAAAAAGCAGTTGAAATCGCCAATCTATAATTACGAAAGCCTAATCGGGCAACTAATCAGAATCAGGAAAATTTATCTAAACTATTTTTCTAAAAATACCAATAAATCAAAACCAAAATCGAAAAATAAATCTAATTACCTTATTTCAAAGCAATTATTAACATCAAACTGTGAAACCAAATAGGGTTGTTTCTTTAATTATGTTTACTTATTTTTTTAGTGTGTTCTTTATATTTTAGTGTGTTCTAAGTATTTATATATTAAGTGTAGTATCGAAGTATGTAGTGTGTGTAGTAGTGTAGAATCTCGTGTAAATTTCCTTAAGACTTAAGTAGATTTGGGTATAAAGAGAGAAGCCAAATAAGATGTGACTAAATTTATTTTGTTCTGAAGTGTAAAAATTTGCAATAACATATTATTACACAATTAGTTCAATTTGAAATTTCAAAACTACTTTTCAAACATTAGCGATAAGGATGATAATATTTCATATTCATGTATCAGTCAAACAGGCAAATTTTATAGTTTTTATGAGTTAGCGATGTGGCAAAATGGAATAGTAATATAAAAGTTTTGTTGAAGGCGATTAAAAGATTTAATTTTTAAAAACATCTGCCAATTTAGTTTCATTTTGCTTTATTTATCTCTATTATCTCTTATATATTGTTTGCGTTGATCAAAACTTGCTTGATTTAACTGACTAATTTAATAACTACATACTAAAGTAGCGCTGTGATCTGTTTTATAGGTAATAAATATGATATAGTAACCACCTATATGACCTTATGCACCGACATCCTGCTTTATGTAAATTTCAATGGTAAACCATCATACTATGAGTATGTTTTATAAATTAACTTTACCTTTTACTCAGACATGAATCAAGACAATGAAATCGCTTCGTGATCAATTTATGGTGAAACATGACTTTAAATTAACGGTCAACTGTTTATATTTAATGGATAAGGCAAGCTGATATTTGTAAAGTTACTTTACATTTATACTAGACAAATTTAAAGCAATGTTAGTAAATCACACATCTAACAATTCTTATAATAAAATAAAACACCATAATTTAAACCTTAGCTACTTCATGCATAGATGTATGTCAACTTTTTACATCCAACTTTACAAAAATAGTGTATAAAATAAAATAAAAAAGAATTTAAAAACTTGTCATTGGTAATAAATTATCTTGTGACTTAGTCAACATATACAACTAGATATCTTAGAACTACATAAACTAATTAGAAAAATATAAACAATTAAGTAAAACTTATAAGAAACAAAAATAAGTAGGTACATACGAGACACAAGCGAATAAAGAACATAAGTGAGGTACATCAAACAATATATACAGAAAGACAAGCTTATGACTACTGTCTTTATGTAAAAATAAAATTATATTTATTACTTAAAAATATGGCATATTTTACACAACTTTATGGCAATTATATTACGCCTTCTTTATAAAGTGTAGCGTTTAATCTGTGCGATTTTTAAGCCACCCTAATATGATTTGTGATCTGAAAGGACAACCCTTAATATTTTTCTAAAAAATTCAGTTTATAAATTAGTCACAATCAGTTATTCAGATTTGTCTCAACAGTTGTTACTTTGTCAGTAGTTATAGTTGTTGATAGCCTGATTGATTTATTAGTAACAGTAATCTTACTTTCGGGTTTATCGTTGTTGATAAACCAGATAATAATCATTTGTTTACATAACTTATTTTTGTTTCATTGTTACTCTGTACATTTTTGACTTATATAGTGTATTTTTTTATTTAACCATCAAATTCATATGGATTTTCTTATAACAAGTAGAAATTATTTTTTGACAAGTTATTATTAAATACACAAGTTATATTCTGTTATTATTTATAAAAACGTAATTATATTTAAAAGACAGCTTTAATATTTTCAAGTACTATGTAGAACGTAATTATTTTTATTAAATATAGTTTATTTCGGAATACATTATAAATCATAACATTTTAAAACATAAAACTAAATGCAGGGAATAGTGGCAAGATTGAATTTATTTAATATGTTATAAAAAGAATTATTTATTTCAAAAATTTTGTCGCATATGTTCAAGTGTTTTGTGCGGATAAATACAATATATTTAGAAGTGAATTTTTATGCATCTTTATTATTTAACAAAAGAAAGTTAAATCTAATAAGTTACGCTAGTTTTTGAATCAAGTACATATTATCTCTTGATTAAGCAGGTCATAAATAGACTTTCTAATGTTTTAAGCGTGGTCTTAAACAATTTTAGTCGTTTGTCTGAATCAAAATTTTAACTTAATCCAAATTTAAAATTCAAGTGAGAACGATGTTGATAAGACATTTATTTTAATTCTTATATATTGTTTTAAGGCACCGTTATTTAGGTTATTAATGACTATTAAGGCATTCGAAAGTTAACAATACAAGCACAACTTACAATATTACAAATCACTAGTGACTATTCATAATGGCAATTGTGAATTAAGTGTAAGTTGTAAGTAAATAGTATATCGAACTTAGGCACTGGTATATGTACCTAATGTGTTATTATTATTGATTACGGGACGGAGACTGTAAGGCTTGAAAAGGCTGAGTTTTTTTATACATCTTTATAAAATTCTTAAATATAAAGAGATAATTTCTACAATATATTTATTTTTTACCTTTAAAAAGTAATATTTTAATGAAGATTTTATTGCAAGCCTAATTATGAATGAAGGGCGGTAAGTTAATGGTGTACTTTTGTGACTCTATTTAAGGGTTGTAATAAATCGAGACTAGAAAGTGTAAACTTGCGAATCCGAATGAAACGACCTGAATTACGCCGGGTGGATAACAATTATATTATATTATTAGGCTAATAAGGTTATTGTTACATATTTTTCTAAATGAAGTGTAAAGAAATTGTGCGAATTAAAATTTTGATCACGTATCTTAAAGTTTTAAATCATAACTTTGGTAAGACAGGTATTGAAAGGGCGTATGCATCGCATCACAAGTTAAAAATTTATGACTTAAAGATTTATTGAAATATAATGCAATATAAAAACTTTTAATCTAAATACTCGTGACAATCATCAAAAATTTTGTAAATTGTGAACAAAATCTAAATTAAAGTTCAATAATTATCACTCAATAAATTATATTTCACAACCCAGGTCGTAAGATCCGAAAACGCTTCTGAACAATTATGACTAAAAATCTAATAACTAAGTGATATTTATTCAATTATAATAATTATACAGATATCTATAATATCTTGGATATTCCGTTTTCTTAAATATTAATTTAGCTTATAATAAATTAATCATATCTAATGAATACTTAGAGCTCTTGAACAAAGTTTTCACGACACCATTGCCGACAATGAGCAAATATTTATGAAGTATAAAAAAAAGGTTTAATGGCAATTACCATCTGAGAATTTTTATGTTCCGACCAAACTTTAATTTATAAAGTCTGTTCTAGGTTACTTAACCGCATTTGTTCACATTGCCGTTTATTATATAAAAAATGAATACGATCATTTAACAGTGGATGGAAAGCAAGACAAGGCGTCGCGAAATAACGTTATGTTCGTCATAAAGTACATAGAAATTTATAAAATACTTTTAACGTATCTTGGTTGCTTAACAGATGACTCTGCGCTAACAATTTCATTATATTAATTACATTTGTATCTAAAGCGATTTCCTTGGTAATGATTGTACCGTATTATGCTTTAAAACGATTATATTAAAATACGTAATGGTTAACTGGTATCTCGTGAGAAGCTCTATCTTCCGACATTTTACTTATTTCTATTCTTGAGACGCGGTAGTGACATATTGATTATTTAATAGAGATAATTCGAAGTTTCACGATGACCATTTACGGTTATCTTGAAGCAACTTCGCATGTACACAAAATAATATCCTTCCTATTGAGTCAGCCTGATTCAGCATTGGCTGTTTTACCATCGGAGCTTTGCAAAATCACTGTACTCCGTAGAACGTGTCCATGAGGCTCGTTTCCAGGTCGCACTCCAGAAAGATGTTTTCATTACATTCCTCCTGGAAAATAAAAAAGTTTAAAAACTAACTTAAAAAAAAAGGAATTCTATATAGCATTGCAGATAGTAAATGGCATTGCCATTAATATTCTTAGAGTCTCGTGGGTCTTCTTAAGTGTAAGGGTATTGTGTCTATGATAATAATTTGATTGGTTCAGTGTTGAGAGATAGAGGGATCATCAACTTAAGGGATCAACAGGGGCCAGCTGCTGTGGTAGCTAGAGGAGCACCGGGTGAATAGCGACCGCCAGTATCGCTTTCGTCGGGGTCGCTCAGCTGGTGACCTTCTGGTCTACTGTGACATACTGTCTCCTACTCTCTTTCTTCTGCATATCAATGACATGTTGCAAATGAGCAACGTCCATTGTTATGCAGACGATAGCACTGTGGATGTCTCGTACACTGGCTGAGCTAAAATTTCTCGGGAAAACGTTTACGAGAGCCGGAACAAGCTTGTGTCTGAGGTCGAGACTTTGTTAACCAAAGTTTCAGACTGGGGTCGACTATACTAAGTCCAATTCAACCCCAAAAGTACACAAGTTTGCGCGTTAACCGTTAATTAACCGTTGTCGTGACTGCTCATTTCGAGAACACTCCCCTATCTGCCACAACTAGTATCGGAATGCTTGGCGTCGAGCAACGTCTAGTTCCGCGGTCAATTGGAAGGTAAGGCCAAATTGGCCTCAAAGAAGCTTGGTGTGTTCAGCAAGGCGAGACAGTACTTCACGGCTGCTCAACGCCTAAACCTCTATAAGGCGCAAATTCGGCCCCAAATGGAGTACTGTTCTCACCTATGGGCGGGAGCGCTCTATTACCAGCTTCTTCCATTTGACTGCATTGAACGTAGGGCGGCTAGGGTTATCGACGATCAAAGTCTTTCCGATCTGCTTGATCCTTTAGCTCTGCGTAGAGATGTTGGATCACTCTGCATCTTCTACAGCATTTATCACGGGGAGTGTTCCGAGGAATTGTTTGGATTGATCCCGGCGGCTGAATTCCACCATCGGACATCGCGCCAGAACCAAAAATTTCATCCACTACACCTCGATGTCCAGCGTTCCACAACAGCACGATTTTTTGCCTCAAGGCACTCATTCAAGGCATTTCTTGCCTCGCACAACCACTCTGTGAAACCAACTGCCACCGGCCGTCTTTCCGAACCGTTACGACCTGGGAACCTTCAAGAAGAGAGCATAATCTTTCTTAAAAGGCCGGCAACGCATTTGTGAGCCCTCGGGTGTTGCAGTTGTTCATGAGCGGCGGTAATCACTTACCATCAGGTGAGCCACCTGCTCGTTTGCTCCTTTTCTCCCAAAAAAAAAACTTAATGTATAAATACAGTACAAGTTTTATTGTTAACTTATTTTTTTTTAAATTTTTGCTACCCTTTTTTAAAATTGGCATGCTAGTTATCTTCTATAAAGGTACTAAGATTTTTAAATGCTCTATTTGTAACTTGTAAATTTGATGAATAATTTGGATCAAAATAGTAAGAAATAGTAGTGGAGAATGTAAGAAATCATCATAATTTTCGATTGTTTGAATTCACTTCTAAAGGATAGGCCTCCCTAACAGATCGTCACGAAGCAGGGTCCTCTTGCACTTACTCCATCGACTTTCCGCAAATTTTCAAAATAATATTTTTTCTCAGAATTCAAACCTGCATCTTCTGAAAAATGGGATTGACTATATCCATTTTAAGGTGTAAATGGCTCATAAGCGATGTGGCCTACTTAATCACGCTTCTGCATGCGGCTCTCAATTATATTGATATTTTAAGTTAAGGAAAATGCCAGCCAATTTACCTTGCCCCCGGATAGTGCACTGTGATCAAGTATTAATTTTAACTACTTTTAGGAATGTGTTATTTAGCGTTTTGATCTTGATCAGTTAATACAAAAGATAACATTAAATTTCCCTTATATCATTGACTAAATCGGATACTATAACTATTTTTCGTACTTTAGGAGTATTATCTTGATGGTAAAGTGTACAATACATGTGACAACAAATAAGCGATACAACGCAATATGATAAAACATACCCTATGTTTAATCACTACATTCTTTGTACTTAATGGTCCAATTAGTACGACAGGTTTAGAATAAAACAGTCTGTAGTATTCTGTCCCTGTGTATGCTTAGATCTTTAAAAATACGCAACGGATCTTTATGCGGTTTTTTACTAGATAGTGAGATTCTAGAGGAAGGTTTATATGTATATACATTGCTAGTGTGTAATAAAAATGACACAAAAACAATACTATGCCCTTATCAAGATGGAACACAGTAAGTTGTGAGTTGAGGACCTGTGGCAGTGTTTAGGGATTGGCGTTAAATAGTACCTGAGCAGGGGGAGGTATGGGCGGTTGGTCCCCGCCCCTCCTCGCGTGTCATTTGGAAGCCTTGGGCAGGTGCCGCTTCATGTGCAACGCGAGGTGGTCCGACCTGGCAAACGAACGCTCGCACACTGCGCACTTGAACGGTTTGGCGCCGGTGTGTTTCCGGTAGTGCCGTGTCAGCTCGTCTGAGCGCGCGAATCTCCATTCGCACTCCGGCCATTGGCAAGTGTACGGTTTCTCACCTGAGCCGATATAGAGTACGTTTAGCTGTCAATTATAAACGACAAGAACACATTGTGCCTCGAAATTGCACACGAATCAGCACAAATTAGGACAAGGTCTTAACAAGATTTTTCTTTGTACTGATTACAAATTTATTTTGGAAACGGCGTAAATTTGTAAGAAATAAATTTCTTATATGAATAATACTTTTCATGAGGAAATATATATATGTATACATGGTGGCTTTTCTAAAGATGACCAAATTCACACAGGAGGTTCAAACTCGGTAGAATCATCGTTTATTGAAATAAAAAAACATTTTTTTCAAAAAACTGTCATTCTGTTCCCTAAAATACAGAACTTGTTGACAATGCGGTAGTCATTCATAAATGCGTCGTATACTTTTGAAACGGAGTTGTGTGCGTGTTATTTATAAAAGATCGCGCGAAAAAAAAATTTTGCCCATAAATCACTCACTTTTTGAGGTAAGTTAAAATGAATGTAATTAATTAATTACGAGTGGTTTTAAATATTTATCATTTTTTATGAACATTATTAATGTCTAGAATTTAATAAAAAAAATGGATACACTTAGAAAAGCCTCCCTGTATATTTAAATTTTGAACAAATTCAAGTTTTGGGTATAAATATGTTTTAGTAATTTGAAGATAAACATTTGACGTAAATTGGGTTTACATGTACAGAAGATTTCAGTGTTTGTCCGTATGTATCTATAATCATCGAAGCTTTCGCCACGCCTTTTACAGCGAGATGTTACGTAAATCATAAGTTTTGCCTTTTTGAAAGTTGTTAAAATCGTTAGTTTGCGGAACACAATTTGACGAGACTTTTAACGTTTTGCATAAAATGTTTTCGCTATAGCAGCAATCGATTAAATATTCGCAATGCAAGGTACTTGGAATAAGCATTTTTTAAAATCATGGCTTGAAGAAAAAGAAACAATTTAACGTCAATTACCTGTATGTATACGCTGATGGGCTTTCAGGTGCGAGCTCTTGGTGTAAACTTTTGTACAACCTGAAATGGCATCAAAAATAACGACCATTCAATGTTTCGTGTTTGAAATATTCTAATTTATGTTATAATAAATAAATCGACCCGAATGGCGCAGTGGTGCAGTATACTTGTTCGATCCCCATTACTGGAAAAATATTGTGTGAAGAACTTAATATTTTTTCTGGTGAAAACACCCAGTTTACGTATTTACAAAAGTATTTTTATCAGTTATCTTGTACCCATAGTACAGCCTTGATTAGTTTAGGGCTAGAGAAAGTTGTGTAAAAATGTCTCCTAAAATATTTCTTCTTTTATTAAAAAAAATAAAGTAAAATTTATCATTTTCTCAATTAAAACCTAATCTATTTATTTATTTTCGTATTAATACATTCAATCTAATTTAAAATAAGAAAAATGAAACCCAAACTGACTATATAGTATGAAAGTTTATGAGTTAAAATACGAGGCTAATGGTCAGAAAAGCATCGGCATTACAAGAAGGTGAAAAACATACCCATAAAGTCGCAATGGTGGACCCGTCTCTTCTCTAGTTCGGGGTTGTTCCTCCTATTGTATTTAACAGGATGTGGGGATGCGAGCCGCGAGTGCTGCAACGTGGGGTTCGGATGTGGTGGCTGCGGCACCGCCTGCTGTGTGACCATTTGCATCTGCTGGGGCATCGCCTGCACAACCACACCGTTACTTTGTACTAAATGATCCAATTAGAAAGACAGGTTTTTAATATTTTGGAAAATAGTCCTTTTAAACCAGGTAAAGATTAGTTATTTTAGTCGTGATTAAAGTATTTACCGCAAACATCTGTGTCTTACTCAATATTACTGTGTCATTAATTAAACAAAAGTACCTGGAGGACCGAGCTTTGCTTGGTTTGTCTTTTTTTTTGGTAAATCATGTATTTTGGAAATTACATTTAGATACAAATTACTGAGTAATAATAAGAAAATATGTACTGGTGTTTTTCACAAAAGAAAGAATTTAAAAAAAAAGGAAAGACAACAAAATCATCAGGAACGATAAAAAATAAAAAATTAAGAGAGCAATGATCTGGAATCGAAAAAAAAGGAAAAAAATAAGTGTGTAAATGATCGTGACACGAACCATGGCCTTCTGTTTCGGGGCCGCCCGATTACCGACCGAGCTATTATAAAATTTTTTTTCGGTGAAATTTACCGTCGTATTTGAATGATATTTTTCATTCCCTGAAAACTGGGATAAAACATCATTTTCTAAAAATTAAACCTAGCCAGATCGATTTTTCGCCCCCGAATCTACGTACCTACATACAAAATTTCATTTCGCTGGAGCCGTTTCCGAGATTCCGATTATATATATATATGCATTTATTTATTCATTTATTTATAAACTGTAATTAATACAAAATAAGTCATGAGTCATTCTGTTTTAATATAATAGTTTGTTTGTATGTAAAGTAATAGTTTAGATTCGAGCAAACTGTTTTCACATGAAAACCGTATCCTGCGTTTCTTTTTCACTTTTGTTTAGTGGTTAGAAAACTCAGTAACTATGCACCTTTCATTCTCTTCTACCATATAAAATATTTTGTATAATATTTTCAGCCTCGGAGCTTTGTTATTAATCGTTTAACACTTGTAAGTACTGTTAATGCTGCACGTAATATATTATTATATAAGCACGTTTACGTACACATGCGTGGCCCAGGTAGGCTGTATCAAGATCGTGGTACTTAGCCTTTTCATGAGCAGGTGTAACTTTATGTTTACGTTGTGAAAGGGTCTCGTCATTATATTTTCAGTGCAAACAATACCTGTGAATGGTGATGGGCATGGGAGGGATGCGGTGGCATGTGCGGCGTGTGGGGCGTGTGGGGCCCGTGGGGCGCGCGCAGAAGTGGCGGCGGGTGGTAGGGCGGTGGTGGTGTCCGCCGTGGGCCGCCCTAGAAACGAAGATGCCATTGTGTTTTTTTACATCACAAATATACCGTTATTATTTCAATTGTTTTCCTTTCTTGATATCTAAAGGTTTTTAATTCTATTTATCATAAATATAAGACAATCTTCGATTAAATGTTCGATTAATTTCTGTAAAATAAATATGATTTAATGCGTCGATCTGTAAGTACTACGACAGGTTTAAGTCAATCTTACCGTACTCGAATTTTATTTGGTTAAATCTCTGAAATGAAAAAATGCATTAACAGATAAAATAATCGCTCAGCAGGAGATGGTACCATCTGTCGCTCAAAATCAGTCGCAAGCTGTCGCATAGCATTGTAATAATAATCATTTTTCTTCCTTTTTACCTGCATAGAGTTTCCAGGACTTCCTTGATCAGAGCCGGGAGGAGTCAGAGGGGACATATAAACCAATCTTGACGGTGGGTACTTGGCGAAGGACGGCGCCGGCTGTAGTTGTGGCTGATGCTGTGGTGGTTGAGGATGCGCGTATATAGGTGGTGCGCATATCCTCTCCGTTTTAATTTCGAGAGGACTGAGGAGGGGCGTGGCACATTCTTCAAGCAAGGGATCGTCAGCTTCGAGCTTGACGTGAGTGGCCCCAAGTGGCGCGAGCATGTTGGCATTCTCGGGATCGATGTTTCTAATGGAGGAAGCGATGTCCTCCCAAAGTGCGGGTCGAAGGAACGCATCGTCGCGGGAAGAAGTGCCGCCGTCGAAAAGGTCCATGTGGCCGGGCGCCAGTGAAGCGCCCTCTTGCTTGCAAAGCAATGACTCCAGTTCAGATGTCTGAAAGAAATAAACTTTAATTTAATTGGACTAACTGGAAATGGAAAATAAATAACTTAACATTTTATTCTGCATTTTGTTCGGTAGGTAATGTGACAAAATATTTTGGGCGTAGAATTTATTTAATATAGTATATTTTAACACCAAATAATGACTTAGAGATATAATTAATTCCATTAAATAAGTAGTAGCAAGCAAGTGCAGCTGTGTCCACTTGCTGACAGAAGTGAATTTAAATTTAAACTGATTTCCTTTACTTATGGAGTTAGTTTAAGCTATTCGTCGCGAAATATATTACGCAAATCGCTTCTCTATCACAAGCCGATGCAAGAGAATATTTCGAAAAGTTAAAGCTTCTTTTACAATGTATTGTTTATTTAACTAGCCTATTAGTATAAATGATAAATCTATTTATACAATCGAGCTATTTTAGGCCCGCGATGAGACAAATTTAGGTTTAAATAGGGGACGGAGGCTCATATAGAATTCGCCATTGTTAAAATTAGATATGATCGGAACTGAACCCGGTTTTACTTCACAGTACCGACCGATTTGTATAAAAGTTTTCACGTTACTACGTTAGCGCTCGTGGATAGGCTACATTTACACATGTCATAACTATTTTCAATATTATTAATACAATAAATTTATTTGAACATGTATATCGAAAAATGCGAAAGTTCCATAACGAAAAACCCTAAGGTTATGTGGAGTTTTGCACGTAATCTCAAGGTCCAAAGAAGTATTCCTAATAGGATAATAAAAGGCACAAACTTAGTTTCTGATAGCATAGGTATTTGCAATGCTTTCTTTGAGTATTTTCAATCTGTATACAGTGCACATGACTTTTCATATACGCATTCATTTTCGTTTGAAGAAACAGGTTCAGATACCCTTTCATCGGTCCATATAACACCAGAGATAGTATACAAATATATACTTCGTATTAATTCTAATAAAGGCCCAGGTGCAGACAACATACCATCTATATTTGTCACTAAAATGCGCTAAAGCTCTAGCTCTCCCACTGTCTTTAATCTTTAACAAATCCCTAAGGGAAGGAGCTTTTCCAAGGAAGTGGAACGAAGCTTACATTGTACCGATACACCAAGGTTGATCTAAACAGTCATCAGAAAATTACAGACCTGTTTCAATCTTGTCTACCTTCAGCAAATTATGCGAAAGTCTTGTCTACGGAACTATTCAATCGTATGTATCCAAATTTATTCCTAATGAACAACATGGGTTATGCGCCTAAGATCCACAGTAACAAATTTATGTACTCTAACTGACTTTATTACACATTAAATGGATAAGCGTGTTCAAGTTGATGTAGTATATACAGACTTTCCCAAATATTTCGATAGAATTAATCATGAAATGCTAATTTTGAAGTTGAAAAATCTTGGTTTTTATCCAATTAACAATGTTTCAGACTGTCGTAGACTGTAAGAAGATCTCACTAGATTTACAAATTATTGCACACAAAACCATCTAAACCTGAATGTAAAAAAGTGTCTAATTATAACATTTAGTCGAAATTCGAATCAATTACGCCTTGACTACGAATTTAATCACTGTTTTATCACTCGTGTAACGGAGGTAAGAGATTTAGGTGTATTACTAGATTCTAAATTAACATTACAATATGATATATCATAAGGCTCTTAGAATGTTAGGTTAATCAAGCCACTACTACCTTTGTATTATGCTTACGTCCGTAGTACACTTGAGTATGCTTCTGTTTGGTGTCCATCGTATATAACTCATATTCAAAAAATAGAAAGTATCCAAAAGAAATTTTTAAATTACTCAAATAATTCAATTAATAATTATAATGCTTCACTGAAGAAGTAAAAACTTCTATCCTTAGCAAATAGAAGAGTTATCTCCGACATGCGGCTGCTTTACGATACATTGCACGGTCGTATAAACTGCCCTAAATTGTTGCACCGATTGTCCTTTCGCATCCCATCACGTCATCTACGCGGCACAAAATTATTTCATGTTCCTTTGACAAAAACAAAAGCTAATGCTTCTATACTGCATAGATGTATGCTGTACTATAATAACATGTTTGTTAACATTGATGTATTTTATTATACTCGTAATCAATTTCTAAATAAAATTTCTATTTCATTTACAAATTGTATATTCTAAATCCTATTTCCTTATTTCTCTCTCTCTCTCTCACACACACACACACACACACACACACACACACACACACACACACACACAAACATGCGCGCGCGCGCACGCACACTCGCACACACACACATACGCGCGCGCGCGTGCACAACACATAAACAGTAATTATTCCTCCCGTTGTATAAAATGTAAATTGTTGTAACTTCTTAAATGGCAAAATATTTTTGTTAATTGTATTTTGTAATGTGATTATTGTATGCTGTGAAGTTTCCGAATAAAACAAAAATTAAAATAAAATAAATAAAAACTTGTTCATATATGGTGGCTAAACTTTGCAGCAACTGAACCGATTCTGTCACTTTTTTATCAAAAAAAAAGATATATCATTAAGCCGGAAGAATATGTTGAAAAGGTAACGTTTGTATATATTTGATAGTAATCTTTAACATTTGTGCTTACATAATTAAGAGGACTCTGTAGGGGTTTTGACGGGGGTTAGGGGATGTGATGGCGAATTTATATGTAGACCTCACAGGTTTCAAAAACTCCCGAAAATTCACTCTTACTGAGGTTAATATTAAAATCAAATGAATAAATAGCAACAAATTTGATTAACAATGCGATTTTAGACCACGGCTTACTGAAATTAGGTAGTCGTCCCTTGTTTTGTTGAAGACGAGGAAAAGTTTTATTATTACAATTAAAATTCTCGTAAATGTAAATTGCGGTATTCATTTTGACATTTTCCAATTTCTTCACGGCGCGCGGACAGGCGGAGGGTCGCGTTGAGCTCTAGAATTACCATACAATGATGTCCTGCCCACGCAATTGGCGCTGGCGCAGGTGACGAGGCGCGATTTTAACAGGGAACTGAACCGACAACGTCCGTTGATTCTGCCCGTTTCGGACTCATCATACTCTTTGATTCCAAGGATCAATCCTCAACCCGCATCATTGTACAGCGTACAACAACATTAACAAACTTACAATTAAATTTTATTGAAAATATTAAATATATTTATACCCGTTATTGCTATCTTGCATAACGCCTATGCAATGCCCGTAAAGTCATTTAGATTTACTATTTAAGTGCTTTTATTAAAACCTACAAGATATGTGCTGATGCGGGAATTGATTGGGAATCGATTGCGGGTCTTCGTCGTAGATTCATTAAGAAAACAGTTTATGAAAATTAGGGTAAATGTTGCAATGTCTAAATCCTTAATTAATTATTCATTTTACTATTAAATCCGAGCAAAGAACAGTCACAAGGCAGGATTTCGAGATAAAATTAGCTTTTTTTGTATAAACCGGACATGAAGATATAGAAAGATTTATTTACAGATCGATTCTTATCTGATATTAGGACATCTGATGCTTCTGTGAAATCAAAACATCGGGTATTAAAAACTAAATTAAACGGAATAAAATGCATAAATTACTTTTGACAATAATTTAACAATAATTGTTACTATTTTGAGAAGTAATAGGTTGAGGAAAAAGTTTCTTCACATTTTATATGAAAATTCAAAACATTTTTTTATAAAGTTTATTTACATTTATCTAAAGGATGCCATTTTGTTACATAACTTTTTGCCATCTTGTAGGTAGGGACATAATCCCATTGCTATAGAAATTCTGCGGCTTGTGATCAAAAACCGTGACAAGTGGTTTTGGCAGTCCTCTCGTGATGTTAACCTGACACTGCCTAAAGAATTCTGAAGAGACCGAAACAAGTGCAAATATGAAGGTGCAAGGTCAGGACTATACGGTGGATGTATTAACACCTCCCAGCCAATTTCTCTTAATTTTTGCTGAGTGTGATGTGTGAGGTCTAGCGTTATCATAATAAAAAACCTCACCCCTTCTGTTGATTAATTTCCGCCGCTTTGTCTCAACTTCTTGCTTTAATTTCATTAGTTTTTCGCAGTAGAATTGAGAATCAATGGTCCTGCCTGGCGGTTACAGCTCATAATGAATAATTCCCTTTCAATCTCACCATACACACAGCATTACCTTGTTGCAAGATAACCCGAGTTTCGCCAGAGTCTGTGAAGCCTAACCAGCATTTGACCACGATCTTCTTCGCACGTTCTTGTCGTACGTGATCCACTTTTCATCACCAGTTATCAGGTTTTTCAAAAATTATTCGGTTTCAGTACGTCGTAATAAATAATCACAAATGAGTACACGGTTTATTACTATTAGGTTTCCTTCAGTGAGCTCATTAGGCACCCAACTATCGAGCTTTTTTGTGTACCCAGCTTTTGTGAAATGCGCCAAAACTGTTTTGTGTTCAATTCCCAGTTCTTCTGCTACATCGTAACTACTGATATCCCGATCTTGTTCCACTTTTACAAAAATGGTATCCATTTTATCCATAACATGGCACCCAGAGAGAGTTGCATCTTTGACATCAACTATTTCCCGATTGATCAGACAAAGCACTAGATCATAAATATCACAAAAATTTTTCGCGGCTTGCGTTGCATTTTTACCTTTTTGTAGTAAAATTTTAAAATGTATCGAATTTCTTCATTAGAATCACTCATCTTAACAGTACAAAAAACAAATGAAAATCACACATTTTCCTAATTTGAATTTGGAATTATCTTTTTTAAAATTTAAACTTTTTAATGATACCAAAACCAGCCAGATACAAATGGTATAGCCAAAGAAATTATATTATAAGTACATACATAGTATTTGCGAAAAGACTTTTTCCCCAACCTAATAATATATATCTTTCACAAAATGGAGAAAATGCTTTACGAAACCATGTATCTTTGGATACTTTTAACGTCACGAAAGTAGGCGATTAAGTCACGGGTGTATCATTCAAAATGAAATATATCTTAAATGTTCAATGTAACTCGATCTCTGAGGGCAATTCCTTTGTAATTGATTACACTTATTTTGCGGGCTGGTCAGTTCATATATATTATTTCACATCAATAATTTTAATCTCGAGTGCAGATCAACCTGTTCCGCAGGCGTTATCCGAGTGAGAAATCGTGAAACTCCCTGCGCGGTGCATAGACCAACGATTGGGACCTCTGTAGCACGGCGCTGTGTCGCAAGTACGCCGGACCGCGCAAATTCCTTCCATGACCTTTGCGGATCGAATGATTGCGCCAGAGTCTCCTCCATTGCGACTAGACGAGCTTAGGCAACGGCGCACAGATTAGGCCATATTACAGATCACTCACTTCTAGAGCATACAAGTTTTTTTTTTAAATCGAATGACCCGGTTCAATCAGTTGAATCGGTGGTTCTTCATCTGCTCGTTTTAAGTTTATTGTTATCACCTACTTGTATTATATTTTAGAGTATCTGTAAAAATTCTTCAACTGTTTCTGAAGCTGTGTATGTGCTGTAATTTAAGTAAGGGTTTCATTCTTGCAATTAGATAAGACAATATGTTAATTATGACCGCGTGACTTGTTTCTTACTCCAAAGAGTCTTCGGTCTTCGGAAGGTGTATGGCAAAATAGTTTAAATAAATGCTTGCACATAAGCTTAAATCTTAACGGCAATATAATGTAATACGCGCAATAGAACCAGTATAGTGAGATGTTGCCGCGGTCAAAATTGCCTAGTAGGGCACTTTTCGTAAGACTACAATCTCACGTCTTAACAATTATAAGATAATCAAAACTTTGTGCAGTCTAGTCTTTGCCTCGGGTAGCAGTGCAAGGTGCTTTATTCGCTTCAATTTAGTTCATTTACAACGCCGGTTAAATCTGTGAATAGACAGCCATTGTGAAATTAAAGAACCACCCGCCGATAGCAAGCCACCCGCAGATGGAGAAAGACGTTAGTGTCCGATTTAATCTTGCATTTCAAATTATTGATTTCTTGTTCTAAATCAAATCAGCTTTTGTATTGATAGATTGTTAAACGAACTACATTTTTTACTTGTCACTATTGTTATATTTGTATTTCTAATTCTGGCCACAATATTCTTATGGAGACTAATCAAACTAGTCAACGGTTTTGATATTGAAGTGTTGACTCTTTATAAACATGGTTTTAATCAGTTATGTATGAAATTGCTAACTTGTTGAACTTTTCATTAGAATGCTGATAATCAATATTCCCATATTTATTAAATTTAACTAAACTGAGATATTGTATATATCTTATATCAAAATATAATTGAACTTATGTAAACGATATTACATTCAATGTTAACTAAATCAAATATGGCAGTAATAGGAACAAAATTCGTTCACATGTTTAGAACTTAACCTCAATCGAACGTTTAAGGTTAATTTTATCGTCTATTTCGTTTACATTGTTCGCATTGAAATTATTCCTTTATTAATGGGCCATTGCACTTTGTAATAGATTTTGAAAGGCTGCCATTTCAAACTAATAAAATTTTAGCATACTGCCTACGCTGGAAGAATATAGTGTGATGAACATATGTATTTATTTCTAAAGAAAATTTAATCTTTTTAAGTATATTTATCAGATTTCTAGTACTCATAGTACAAGCGTTGCTTGGAACTAGAGAACATTGTGTAAAAATATGCACGAAAAAAAATATAACTACCGTCGTTCTGCCCTTAGTTACACTTCGTGAACTGCTACTTTAGGCAGTGATAAAAATGAAATGGTTTCTCATTCGTGACGTGATAACAACACAAGCAAATTTGTTTCAGCAGTATATTGAACGCCGCGACGCCGATGACGTCACACCTGCAACCGGCCAATGGCGAAGCTGCATCAGTGACGATTTCTGAGCCCGTCTATATACTTAGTGGCTATCAAATTATTGAGTGGTTTGTTATCGGCAAATACAGGGGACTTATCTACTTCATAACGTTTTCAAATAAATAACAGCTGAAATGTGCTAGTGCCTCGATAATCTAAATGTCGGCATGTTGTGTTTTGCGTAATTCCTTATTTCTATTTAAAGCCGTGGTATCTCAGGATCTAGTCGCTCCCTTTAAAAGTTCAAACCCTGGTGCCAGCACCGTAAGGAAAATTACAAATTTTTGAATAAGTAACAAAAAAAAGTTATGTGAATTCTGCCAATCCACAGCGGGGTCGCGTGGTGGACGATGACCTAATTCCCTCTGTGTAGTGTTAGTGGCTGTTAATTTTCTTCGTTTTACTTTAATGTTATTTGTAAAATTAAATAATAACCTCCAGGTTTCAGGTCGGTATGAAACTAACTTTCATCGCTAAAACTTTCTCAGTTATTAAATCCCGGGGAATTTGTAGCAATTCTTGCTATTGAAAACATTACACGGTTCTCAAGTGCGTGTGTTGGGAAATACCATCTTTATAATTTAATAGTTATGAATCAAAAATTACATTAGTATTACTAAACTAAGGTAAGATACTGTAAAATTCTTCCGTAGAATTATACAACCAACTTAATCGAATGGGCTTTACTAGGGCTTGCAATTCACACGCGTGATCCTTTCACAGGATCTAGGTGACAAGGTCTTCCACAAAACTTGACTTTGGGTTGTATGGATACAGCGATATTTGCTTTACGATATCGCCTCTTACTATATTGCAGATTTGAGGTGATTCTTAAACAACTTGTAGAGCCAATAACTTTGACTCATTTGTGCTAAGAATGTTACTAGTGACCTTCATACTGACATGGTACATTAACGGTGGTAGAGCCACGCAACAGCCTCGGCTTTTGCACGAATGGGCAGGCTCGTCTGGTTAAGTACCACGACCTCACAGAAGACCGGCGTAGAGTGGAAGTATGCCAAATACTTTCGCGTTCGTCTGGTGAGTGAGGTAGCCGGAGCCCAATTTCTAAAAAGGTTGTCAACGCATCTGCAAACCCTCGGGTGTAGCAGATGTCTATGGGCGGCGGTATTCACTTATCATCAGGTGAACCGTCTGCTCGTTTGGCAACTTTTCACATAAAAAAAAATGGTTCGACCACAGGCGCAGAGTAGTCAACATCTTGGCGCCTTTTTCCATTATAAGTTGACGGCACGGTTATTAAGTCTTTTTCACATTCCCCGCGGTTGAAACTGGTGGCTTGCTTCCTTCGTAATGTGTGCATCGAATCAGTGAAACAGTTTACCGGCGTCAATTTTTCCATTCGAACACAACGAATAGTGAATTCAAGGCAAGGATGAAGAGTCTTTTACTTAGATAGTGTGCTTACCATCAAAATTACTCACTTATTACTGAGGTGGGATAATATTAGTAATAACCAATACCTGACATGTAAAAGGACTGTAATAATGCAACGGACTAATACAGTGGTCATGACCACATTATAATAACACTTAATTATGAAGTCTTATCTTGGCCAATCAAACTTCAATGGCGCTTTCAATAATTTTTCCTTTGTTTCTGTTCAATTATGTCTTCACTTTTCAACTTAAGGCAAGGAAAATCTTGAGAGAGAGCTCGTACAGCGTAAATTTTAATGACGTTTTCAGAAAGCCCACGAGTAGAGTCTGTTAATAATTAGCTAGGACATTAGCTGTCCTGTAGCTCTACCTTGTGTTCGGTAAGAATACTAGCAAGGAGGTACGAGTATGTGTCATCTATAAACCGTTTATCGGCAACAAAGCTTTCGACCGCTGCCCCGCATTTTCCGCCTATCACAGCGCAAGCCTTGCGTGACGGTCTGCAATATATGATAGCCTATAGATTTAGATTTTATTCCGCCTTTATGATCATTCGCTTTTGGTGGTCTTGAAACGCTTGTATTGTATCGAGAATGAATTTAAACATACTTGTGGTGCAGGTGTTTTTGTAAAAATATTTCGAGTATTGACTTCACACAGTATGGCTTTTATTAAAAAAGACTTTAAAGAATTGAATTAGGGTTAACAAGTGTAGGATACTCGTACAATTTGTTAAGTTTGTAAGCAGAAAATGTTGTTTTATTCAAATAACAAAGCTAATGTTCGTTCAGAAATGGTTACTTTCCGAATAGTAAATAGACTATACAAGGGACCCGTATTGGAAAAATAATTTAATGAGAAACTTTTGAAAAAATAGACACTTAAATGAAAAAGATCATTTTTAGAAACGTCAAAAATTTTAAATGAAATAAATGCGATTAAAACAAAATAAAATAAAATAAAATAATACTTTTAGTTAACGTGTCCAATTGAAGCCAGATTAAATATTACTTTATGAAAGTGTAATCTCCAATCTGTGTGCATATTACTCGCTGTCATATGTAAAGAATTCAAATTGCCTCCCCATCCCGTTATGGCATTGTTTGAACACCACGTTGGCCTGTGCCGACGCTCTATTTCCATAATTCAACTGAACACCCACTCAACTCATTCTTCAATATGTGCTAAGATTATTTGCGCCTGCAAGTATCCACTGCTCGCCTACAGTTTAGGGCATAAAGTTCAAATTGAACATGTATTGTCTTTGTTGAAACATAACTTGCGTTTGGCGCAGCTAATTGTATTATTCGCAACGAAGCTTACAATTACTGTTTCGGCGATAATTATGACGATGTTGATAACAGGAGAAATCTGCTTTTATTTAAAGACAGATACAAATTTCGCAACCTTATAATGCCTTTAAATATGATATACTTATCTCGTTTAAGTTTATTAATATTGAATAATATTTAAAATATTTTGTGTGGTTAAAGAAATATTCTTATAATAAATAACAACCTACAAAAAGAATCGGAAAATTAGAGACTGCGAGAGTGAGTATTAAAAGGTTTAATTAATACAAAATTAATTTAAGAAAACTAGAAGAATAGAAGGAAATCCTAAAATCTCTATGCTAAATAGTTTTTCGCAGATAACACATGTGATAGATACTTGCGCCATTTTCTTACATCCACCGTTTCTGATGCCGTCCTAATACTCTGATAATACAGGCCACCAATGAGTAGCAAACAGCGCCCCCTGATTCTCAAGCGGTCAGTCCACTGTTGGACTTGTCTGTTATCATTGATTCGGAAAGTACGAAAACACTATAAAATCGAGGAAACATGGATGTGTAACGTCTGTAAGATTTAATAGCCTAAACATTCCCCATAGTAATGCCTTAGTTTTCACAATAAAGTAAAGCTTCTAAAATTGGCGCTATGATTTATGTGATTTATGTGTATGAACATGTGTTGATGATGTAAGAGCATCAGAAGCTTGTTATTTTTATAAGAACTCAAGGAATTTCGT